GCTTCTTTGCTCACGTCCTGAGGGTGCGCTGGGCGGGCAGCTTCGCTGCTCTCGCCATCTTCAGCCTGCGAGGTGCTGCGCTGCTCCTGTTTGGAGCTGTTGTCGTCGTTGCTTCCGCTGGATTCAGCTAAGCTGCTAGAGATAGGCTTGTTTTCTTTGCTTTCGCTGGTTTCTGTAGGCTCGCCAGACATGGACAGAGCGGGAGTGACGCTGGTGCAGGCGGTGATAGAGGTGGGTGCGTGAGGAGTGGTAATGCTAGTAACCTCGGTTTCTCGGGGCTTTGTTTGCTTGTTGTCTAGGATGGGCTCCAGGGGTGCGGTGCTGACGTCTGATTTGATTGCGCCGGGTTGCTCTGCGGGATGAGGCGTTAGATATATTGGACATTTATCTAGTGTTTGGGGACTCATGTGCTTGAGTTGTACTTACCATCGCGATTGCCGCCATCATAGGGATCTGTAGCACGTCCTTGACCTTGGACACCGGACATGGGCTCTTCGCCGTGCTGCTGGGACTGGGTGGAGTCGTTCTCGCCCCAGATGACAGTCGAGGCAGCGGTGACGTATTTGTTGACGGTCTCCATGACTGTATTGTGGTTTAGTTGAAAGTATGGGTATAGAAGGTGTCTAAGATAATAGAATGGCAGATTGGATATAGTAAAAGAGGATGATAGTAGGATAATATGTTGTTGTTTTGCTAAGTGGCAAGTGGATTGGACCCTTATAAGCTCTGGGCAGGTCAAGCTTTAAGAACCCACAGGCTGAGACCGAGTTCAATACGTCAGTGTTGGGCTACGGTGGCTTGCACAAGGATCGCACATTTGATTCCACTGGCTTCTCAATTGCGAATGATATTCCACTTGATAGATTGGATTGTCGAGCGGCGATCCTCTGGGCCTATGTCATAGAGTGACGTCATATACTTGGATGTAGTATATATCATGTGACCTCATACTACATAGCAATAAGATGCAAAGGTATTAATAGACATATAATCAGCCCATAGCCAACTGACCACTGTATAACAGGGTAAACGTAAACAAAATCTAGACAAAAAGAAGATACGAGATAGGACATATCTAATGTCTAACGCTTAGCAAGAAAAAGACCAAACTTAAAGGAACAAAGAAAGAGAAGAACAAAGAAACTCCGTTGAATCAAGTAAAGTAAAAACAAACTAATCATGAGGTATCGTGGGTGTGGGAGTGGAAGCTCCCTCCTTTGCATTTGGGTTCAAAGGTTGCGTTGGGTCATAACCGATGCTCTTAACAATTCCCAGTCCTTTCGTCTTGCCCTCACGGAAGAGGACACGGTCCCCGGGGGCTAAGAATTCAGGACGCTGGACAAACCTGAATGCCACTAACGCTCGATCTCCAGTACGAATGAAAGGGCGATCGATGTCGATGACCGAACATGTCTGACTGACTGCCCCGACATGAAGCATGGCCTGGTATTTAGGCTTGATGGTAGTTGCATGAGAAAGAATCAGGACTATTTTTTATTAGCATATGGTCAATCAACCTCGAATGGGCGACTTACCCTCCGCGATGAATTCCCGATACACCTTTGGAGACTCCTCCAGCTTTTTTAACACTACCATACCTTTGCGCACTTCCTTCCGGCGGACGCGCTTCAGGGCGAAAGATCCAGATTGGCCAGCAAAGCAAGCGTTCACCTGGATACGCTTGCGCTCAATGGACTTGATGACTGTGGTGGTGAATTGGCCGAGCGAGTCTGGTCCCACTATGACCGAGTCTCCGGCATGAATGACACCGGACTTAACCACACCCGAGACAACTGTACCCACATGAGGAACAGAGAAGGTGTCGTTGATCAGGAATTCGAAGGCTCCCGCGGCGTCGTATTGACCGCGGTGGGGTAGAATGTTTAGGAAGGTTCGTACTAGGCCGAGGTTCTCTCCTGTGACATTGGACACTTGGAAGATAGGACATATCCGCTGGCTGACGAATTGCGTGGCCGTGTTAATGGTCTCCTCCATATCCTTGACGAAGATTGGAATCTTGCGCGCGCCAGGCGATTTGAGAATCTTGGTCAGCTGGGACAAGGTCTCCTGCAGAATATGGGGCGGGCAAATATCAATCTTGGTGACAATGACCATGACAGGCACATTGAGGGCCAAAGCAATACCGAGATGCTCTTTGCTCATTCCAATAAGACCGTTATTGGCAGCGACCATCAGCAAACAGTAGTTGGGGCTGCTGCTCAACATTCCGAATACAGTGGTGCGCAGATACCTCTCGTGGCCTGCCAGATCGGAAAAGGAGATGACCTTAGCAGAGCGCCTGCCGATGTCTTCCCAGGAGAGCTTTCGGCCCTGCGAATTGCCAACTATTTCGCCTCTGCTGTCGAAGCCCATGATCTCCAACCCGACAGAGCTGGTACGCCCGCTTTCGATCTCGTGCTTGTGGCGGAACAGATTTACTCGCGCACGACCACGTCCATCGTCAAGATCACCTTTCACTAGCACTCCTAGCATAGTGCTCTTTCCAGCATCGACATTCCCCACTACTGCAATCCGAAGCTCTGCCATCTCCTCGATGTTATCAACGTGGTGGCGCACGAGGACCTTGCCCCAAGCGCCTTGTACGCGGTCATTGGTAACAGATGATTCTTCAGGGCCTCCGGCGTTATAGGCCAGTAATACCCGGCAGTGGGCGGGGATAGTCTCGGCCGCCTCGCGCAAGCGCTGCAGCGCCGTCTTCCATTGGTCGAGGTCGAAGCCCATGGATTCACCACCATCATCCAACCCGAGATCGAAGATGGTTTCCCCATGGCCTTCATCAATGCGTGTTTGTAATATGCCGGCTAGCACTTGCAAGTTGTCTTCGACGGCATCGCCTGTACCGAGAAGGAGATCCTTAAGCTTGGCTGTTTGGGGGGCATCGGACAGCCCTAGCTGATCAAGAATGTCGAGCTCTGCATGGTCCTCAAGATCGCGCGATACGCTGGCGGTGGAATATCCGCTGTCGCTGGGTGCTACTTGGCCGGAGCGGTGGGCTTGCTGTTTCTCGGCATACTCGGCGAATTCACTGAGGGCCTAGGTTGAAAATCATGTAAGATAAGGAAACTATCACATCTTCCCTGGAGACACATACAACTTCACCTCGTCTTCGGTCCTCATGGCTTAGTTTCCCGGTTACAGGCATTGTGTGAAGTTGGAGTTGGTAAGTTCAACCGTGTCAACTGATATGCCGCTTTTTTGGGGTAAGTGACGTTATTAGTCGGTGGATCAGATCGCCGTTATTGTTGGCGGATGTGAAGTTGTATTCGAGTGATCATAGTTTTCTTTTGCCCAGATGAACAAAAGAAATATAATGTAGTAAATATTTGAACAAGTGTTCAGGTTGAGAGTACATTATAAAGGGGAAGGGAGAGCTTTATCGATAAGTTGGAGTCACCAGTTGAGTCATCGACCAGGCCACCCGTGTAATTAGGCTATATCAGCCGCATTTCACCAGTGACTCGATAGAAATATACTAGGAAGAAGGTCGAATCATAAGGAATACTATGACTAACCATTGCACAGCCTGCTCAGGCTATATCCAACAGGGCTAGTATGATCATAAACCAATTTCCATGGTATCGTTACCTATCTATGTTGACTGCATTTTGTGGTATCTTGTGTCCTTCCTAGTATTGTTCCCGTCACCGGACGCCATTCTCTCTATCAAGGGCATATCAAGCCCGTCATGCCTGGGGGAGATCAAGACGACGGAGTCTCCTAGATAGGGATCAGCAACCCACTCAATATATTCCATAATTGCTCCGACTCACCTCGAACGAAAAGCATCTCTTCTTGTTTCTTGATAGTCTGTATCGGAGATCCCACATTAGCCCGTGCCCATGTACATTTCCCATATTCACATGACTCCATACCCGTAAAGTCTCCTCTTCGTTCTCATCCTCTTCCACCACATAGATCGTCTCCTCCACATCGCCGAGGACTAGGTTGCAGTGACTGTCGTAGGCCTAGAGACACATATCATAGTCAGTAGTTATCCTGAAGATTGCCAGGTGGGGGGTAGCTCACATGAAGGCGGCCCTTGAGCTCACGGTCACCGCGCAGCTTCACGAACACGGTCTCATCGAGGGAGAGGCGAACAAGATCCAGGGGCTCCGAGACGGATGGACCGCCGGTATCTTCATTGTCGGCCATGATAGAAAGGGTGATTGGATTGGGTTAAGTGCAGGTCCACACACACGCAGAATCAACGAGCTTTGGCAGATACCTAATGGGGTTTAGCGCCTGGCTTGCCAAGAAGTAGGATGAGTCAGCAATTTACCCCGGGTTTTCAAGTTTCCCAAAGTATCCACATGAGATCTATACAGGTGGTGGAGCAGGAATTGGAGAACATTGAATTATGTACATGTATATACGTTATCAACCAAATAGTGAAATGGAAGAATTCTCTCGCCTAATCACTCGTGCAGGGGTCATGCGCTTACTTAGTCTGAAGCACAACCTGCATGAAGTACTACCCTGCCAAAGATCCGGGGTCGAAGCGCACACCTTCCCCTCATTTACACCCCTGGTGATTTTATTCTCTTTGTTTATCCTATTTCTTAACACTGATCTCTTGCTACACTTTACCCATGCGGAGGATTTCATTTACCGAGAAGTTCGCTTCTCGTTGGGGTGTCTCGTCTCTGTATGGAGAGAGCATCAAGCACAGACAATTCCCCCCACACCATCATCTCAGTCGCCCGAGGCAAATAACTTGTGTCGCAAAATCTCCAGATACAAAGATATGGGATATTTCTGCACAAAGAACAACACAAACTTGCTATCGCACCTCCGTACGGCAATTGACTACAACAAGTCATCGATGGAGCAGCGAACTCGCGGTTCCACGTCCTGCGACTTTCGAAAAAGAGATACAAGTGCCTCTACCAGAATGGAGCTCACCCGCAGAGGAGGCGCGGTATAGGGCAGACTTCTTCCGAGCCCTACAAAATGGACAACCCAACCAAGTGCTAGAAGCCATGGTCGATCCACGGTCGGTAGAGTTAGTCGGATCGCTACCACCAACCGTATTTATTGAAGCCTTGCACCTTCTCTCCCCGGCCAACTTTGTCATACCATACCGAGATCTTCACCATACACTGCACGGGTGGGGTGTGTTAATGGATGGGCTCAAAACCTTGGAAGCGGTCTTCGACGACTTTACAAGGGACTTGCTCATGATTATCCAATACAGATCCGCGGCTGGATATCCACCTCAACTAGCCGAGTATACTCATCTGCTTGACTGTGCACAGGCGATGGGAAATGGGCCTCTAGTCAACGCGCTTTGGGATGGGATGTATACCAACGGCGTCACTCCCGACACAGCGTGTTATAACCACTATATGTCAGGACGGATCTGGGACCATGGTTACGTGGGAAAAGAAGCATACAATACTCGCATCACCCCTTATAGCTACAAAAAGCGGCGCATGGTAGATCCGAGTCCTGGATATCGTGGCTACGCAACGGCGTGGAATAGTGTCAAAGGAACTGTGCTGGATATATTCAGTCAAATGAGCCAGGACGGGCTGAGTGGGGATGTGCAGACATACATCAATGTCCTCCTCGCATCCGCCCGAGTTGGCGACACGGAAGCTACCAAGAACATCCTCAAGACTGTATGGAACGTCGATGTTGAGGCCATCTTAGCTGAAAATGATAACTCAGTGCTGCCACCGGTTACACCCTATGAGACTTGGTCCGGTCTGTACCCGACAGAGGGTCTTCTTTTCGCCGTTGCCCATGCCTTTGGCACGACCAACGACATGCACGCCGCCATTAGAACGGTCGAATTCATAGCTTCCTCGTACAACATCACCATTTCGGGCAAGGTCTGGTCCGAGTTGCTTGAAAGGACATTCACTCTCTCCAAAGAACACAGGCGGAGACAGGCAGAAGATGGGCGAATAGGCCAAGTCCCGAGAGACATGGTCCGTGATGTTTTCCAGGTATTGACGATGGAGTACAATGTTCCTGCGACTCTGCAAATGTACCGATATATGACCCAAACCAACAAGATTGATGGTGATTTGGAGGCTTGCAAAAGAGACATGCGTAAGGCATATGATGTCTTGAGCCAAACGAGGGAAAAAAGAAAGGAAGCGAGAGACGCCGTTATGAAATGTTTACAACGAGTCTTGGACAGTATGAGACCGCCGGCGAAGGTTCGGAGGAAATGGCAGGATCAAATCAAGCACCAACGAGAGAATGGCATGGAACCAGACCTGTCACTATTTCACTGCCCCTTGCTCGCCGAGGCCATCAACGCATACGATCTCCTCCGGCTCGAAGTCTACCAACAGATTTATCAAATGCAGCGCATAGCCTATTCAATGATCATCACAAAACGATGGAGTGACATATCGCCCAAAGCCTGGGAGCTCCAAGAACGACCCAAGCTACTGGAAGAGTGGAAAGACTTTCTGCCAGAGCGTAATAGCTACGAATATAGAGATGGCGAGGCTGGGACAGTCGATTTCCAAGGTCGAACGACTGCCAAAAGCACCCACATGAGCCAGCATGGCCGCATTCATGTCCGGCGGATACCAGATGGGTCGGAACTGTTCCGTCCTGTTGAGCCCAAGGTCCTCGATGATAGGATATTCTGGGAAATCCTGCTTTATGAGTACCCCCAGCTAGACCCGTCCATTTGGCCGCTCAGTCGCATCTACACCTTCCAGATGAAGCACAGCAAAGAATTAAAGGAAAAGCTCAGCAGACTCAAGACGCGGGTTGATTACCCAGAAGATCATCATTTGTCGCAGACGAATAATCCTAGTGCCGGATTTTATGGTCGCATTCATGCGCTGGGCTTTGATGCCAAACCCCAGAATTCTATATTCTGGCGAGATGGCAATCCTTTTTGTTGATGAGAAGAGCCTTTTCTTTTCTGTGTCGTTTCAAGCATTTTCGGTTGACCTCCATCATACATGATATCCATTTGTGCAATTCCATGAGCAGGACGATTTTTGTCTGTATTTTTCTTTCCTCGATATTGTTATGTAGTGAAAGACATGTATGTCCATTAAGAAGCCCCTCGAGTATATGAGCTTTGTAAGTTGAATAGTAAAATGAGTATACAAGAAGGCATACAGGCCTTGAGAAATCATATGCAGACATGATGCGTCAGATATCAACGCAAGCAAAGGGCGATCAGCCGAAATGATACAAGATCTGAGCAAGAGCAGCACAGATCCGAAGCTAGCCCTTCATCCAGGGCATAGCAATTCGTAGACAAGAACAAGGAAAGGACCAGCCACCTAGACCTTCTCCCGCTGAAGGTCATTGACAGTCATATATCTCCCAATAGTAATCCACCCCCACCGGAACCAGACCATCTGACTCTTATGACAGATGACCATAGCGGACTGCGCAGTCAACCACTCATTTATCGAGCTAACAAACAGCAGCCGCACAGGACCCGCCCCGGCATCCTTCTGCTTCGAGCCCGCCAAACCAGCAACAAGGTTACTCCACACACCAAGGAACATGGAGAGCGGCGCATCCAGCACACCCACATACTTGCGGAATACGGACGTCGTAGTCAGGGTATACAGCGTGACCGGACAAGTAAAGCCCGCCTTATCCTTCATCAGGGCGCGAACGAAGTTCACAGCGCCGTAGTACAGCGAGCGATGGTTAGGATGATTACTGATTCCATGCTTGTCAAAGGTGATGATGACATCGATAGTAGCAGTAGGGGCCTTGTTAGGATCAACACGCTTGGCGGGCAGTTTCTTCTGCGCTGCCATTTCCGGCGCGAAAGCCGAGGCCAGCAGCGACGAGATCTGGCCCTCGTCCCAGTCCTTGTCCATTCCATCCGGGAAGCGGCTCACGTCGTCGACTATGAAGACGTCTGATTCGCTGCGCAGACCGAGCTGCTTGGCTGATTTCTGGAGCTCTTGTTTGCGCGTCTCGCCTAGGCCGTCTGCGTCGCCGCTGCTGAGACAGAGGATCTTTAGATGGTTTCCGAGCTCGGGCTTGGTGAGGGATAGCACTGTTGGGGCGAAGAACATGGCTTCGTCGTCTGGGTGTGCGATTAGAAGGCAGATGCGCTTGTTTTCGAGGCGTGGGAAGGACCGTGTGAAGGGTGAGGAGGAGGTTGAGGAGAAGGTCCAGAATATGAAGACTGCGGTTATGGCTACCGCCAATGCGGTCCAGTTGAATGAGGTCGACATTGTGGTGTTCAATTGGTGTGGTTTGCGGGTTTGTACGGGTTGTCTGGAGATTTCGTGGGGTTCCACGCCTCGTAGTTCCGTTTCTCCGTGTTCCGAGGAGGATCGAAGATCAATCTAGGGTAGGGATACGGGTTGTGCTGCTCGATTATAGTATTTCTGGGGCTGTGGTAATTGGACCGAGACTGATGTAATGCGGTGCTCGATTATTAGGTAGAATTGTTTATCGAGTGGATCAGAGTAGACCAAAGCCAAGGCATGTGTAGGGTGGGGAAATGCGAATCATCCCACTTGTGTTGATGCAGGGGTCAACTACTTCTGGGGAGAAGTAATAGCCAAGCCCATGATGCTGCAGCAATTCAAAAAAGAACACGGTGGCTTGAGCTCCCATCCGGAATAGGGGAAGCTCAAGTGATTCTGGCGATCTATCGCCGGGTCACGTGTCAGCTTTCTACATGCCGTATACATGAAGTATTCATAATACTTTTACAACTCCGCCCCCTTTCTCTTCTCTTCCCTCTTCCGCTTGATTATCAGCAAATGGCACAATATAGCAATACCCATGCCAAGCGCCCAACACAACCATACCGGGTGTTGGTGTGCCCATAAAATATCCTCGGGTACATCGTATGCGTAATATCAATTTCTTGTCCTTCAAGGTACGTAGTAGTTAGAGAGGAGGAACCTTGGAAGTCTATTTCGTTTAGTTGAACCTTAGGGGAAATATTAAACACATACATAAATAGGTACTAGAAGAAATAAAGCATCTAACTAGTAGTTCTTGCATTTATATAACTATGGTTCCTTTTTTCTAGAAATATTATCCTTCTTCCACATTGCATATTGAGAATGAATACTAATATTAGGTCAACAATGCATCCATTTTATGGTATGTCCTTGAGAGTTGGATTTCTTAACAACAAGTCCATGTCTATACGTGTCCCGAACCGAACTCACTTGTTATACCGAAATACCTAGGTAAGTAGGTATCTTCCTCCTTGTAATTAGCTTCAACTCCTAGCAGCAATATCCTTGGACTAGTACATTATATGATCTTTTCTCGTTGGTATAATCATAAAGAGGTTTCGAAACTACTATAGGCTAAAGCCTGCTTCTTCTAGGCCTCATACAAGGGCTATACTATAGAGTTTATTTCAGTAGATAGGTGACCACCGATACATTCTTCTCTCGATAATTGGTTTTAGACAAGTAGTAATGCATGCATCACCTGGAGGATTTAGCTATCAGTATCTTTTGAAACTGCTGTCCTAGATAAATGGTCTTCAGAAGCTCTTCGCTCTAGGTATTGTTTCACTTGTAGATCAATAATGCAACCCTTGATCGAAGGCGAATAGACGACCGAGAAGATCCCCAGAGACGCTCGGGGTATCTGACAACCCTAACAGTCTTAAGAGAAGAACGGCTTAAACTTTGTTTTCTTGGTGGTACACTGCCTGTGCTCCCAGCCACGATCTGATAAGACTTGGGACCTCAATATAAAAGTTTAAGTTTTACGCATTTGGAGTATGATCTAGAGTGATACAACGCTGAAACTAACATACGCTTCGCATTGTATCGCTTTAGCTAACTATAAAACCAAGATATATTCCTTGATTTTGATAGACGAGCCTGGCCCAAAACGAATTCTTTCCACACCGCTAGCCAAATCGAAGCCATGCTATCAAACCGGGTAACGGACCGGTGTTATAACGATCGTCTCACTGCCAAGCTAATTGTTAGCTAATTATTACCCCAAGAGATGACCGGCGTCCTCCGACATATAAAGTAGAAAAAAAAGTCGAAACTACGGTTTTCGGCCCCATTAAAGGTGGAGATTCTACAGCGCGATACTACATGTATATATATTGTTTAAGCCAAAAGGGTAAAGACAGCCAGGGCAGAATCTGAACCAGGGAACGTTACCACAGCGGGTGAGGCTAAAAGATCACGTTGCAACGGGCCGAGTATAAAGTTCCGAGTGGATGACCGACAGAAAATTTCTGCTTTCCCGCGCTTAAGCGGAGACCCGGCCATTCTCCGTGGAACTATTTTATATTAGTTCTAGTTTTGCGGTGTTAAATGGCACCATTCAAAATTAAAAGAAAAGAAGTAATTTCATAGTGTTACATGTACATCACGTCTGTTTAGGGATATATAGTCTTATGACGAGATGGCGTTATTCTTTGGCATATGGCTGAATATGCGGAGCATATTTTCTCCACGATGTGTACCTTTGTACTGTTTCTCGAAATAATCAAAATTCAAATAATTAAATATTCTAAAGCTAAAAAAAAAAGGGCGGAAAGAGATCGGAGAAGTAAGCCGAGATCGCCCCGAAACAGGAAGTTCGCCTGAGACGCTTGCCGATGTGCCTTTTTAGTATTGGCTAGTCCATCCGACCAGCTACCGGCGGACGACAGCCACTGATTTGCGATCGTGACCTCCGAGCCGTTCATCAATATTTACTCCGTATAATGAACTATTTACTCCGTACTAGCTTCGAGGTATACCTCTTGCGGCCAGTCCCCGGAGAAGAAAGAAAGATAGCATGGACCTACTTTATACGTCGATAGCTTTATCATTACATCTTATTACCTAGATCAGGACAATATTGCGCAATATGTGTATTTGAGCTATGTAGATCGATCAACCTTAATGTAAAAACTAAATCTCCGATGCACCAAGAGCTGACGTGCCCGGGTTTACAAGCAAGAACCCGAATGGCATCATTCGTGTCTCTAAGCCTGATATAGGTACTCCGTACAACACACACCATGGCGTGATCAATGCCCTCAGCTCACCAGAGCTCCGAGGAAACGCCTAAGGTACGGGTCCATAGCGGGCGAGTCAGGAATCCTGACCCGGGGCACGAGCCCAAATAAGCCGCAATTCTTCAAGCTCCTGCATGCACACAAGATGTCCGTGCAGATCCAGTACCTGGGCACCCTGCGCGCGAGGCCGATGCTTATAGGTGAGCGGTTAACTCCTGATGCTATTGTTGTTAGGTAATTAGTGTGCGTGGCGGGGATGGTGATTCGCTATGGGGCGACCTTGGGAGCACGGAGCATATCTTGACAGGTGAAAGGGCTAGAACCCTTGATCATTATACGGAGTACCCTTCGGATGTTGATATTTGAGATGCTTCACTTCTTTCTAAAGAGGTTTCACGGATCTCGCATTCTCATGTGCCCCGCAAAAGGCTTGTAGTGCGGGGTAGAGAGTACATAGGCGAGCCCCGTGGCCTCAAGAAAATGCCCGTATTCCCTTAAAGAGTCCAAGTCCATCCACTTTTATAGATCAGACGACTGAACAATTTAGGCGGTCAGAACAGAAAAAGAATTTTTTTTTCATAGTGGAGCTCCGCGAAGGGTCTTTTCCCATCGCGTTTTGTTGTCCCAATGCGGAAAGGTGGATTGTACATATTTAGGGCGGCGCTAGTCGAAGATCCTCTGGAACCTTGGAAAGAGATGATGGTATGGTAATGGACCAGTATGGTATGGTTTGTCATTTACCCAGGTCTGGACATATGGAATGTGTGGTCCATTACTGTCATTCTACGCCATCACGCCACGTGATGGCTTCTAACCTTGGATTTGTATACAAATATGGAGCTACATATTTACAATATTATACACCGTAAAAAGGAATATGTAGAGATGAATGAGTTTTTAGAATTTGAAATAATGAATACGATATGCAGGCATTTCTGACTCGGGTCAAGACAAGGACACCTCGTCGGGCACATCTCCGTGTGTTCCGTAGGGCTATACGGAGTAGAGTGCTTGATAATCTAAACCCGGGGTAGTACATCCGTCTTCACTACATACAACATAAGTACGGATGATCCTGTCATTGGTCACATTCGTCAACTTGCCTAGATACCTAAGGTTTTAGAGCTGTAGGTGGAACCCTACGGGCAAAACACACATGCTAAGTAAAGCGATATGCAATTTGTATCTGTATACATGCCGAATAGGCCATCGCAAACCTATCCGACCGGTTTAGCCGAACCGGTACATCGTACGTGAGTCATTGCGCACGGTTGTTCTACGCTAAGGCTAGAGCCAACAGTGGCATCATGTGCTCCCATTGACTGCCCTGATGGGGTTTAGCTTAAATTTTACTGATTCCTTTGTGATCGAAGCATGATGCCTTCACTATCATTTGAAATGTGGGGTAGAAGTTAGAGTCAAGCGACGGCGAATTCTGGGCAAGAGGTTTAGTTTGTATATAGTCTTATATTGCAAGTAGATATAACGAAATCTTAGGCTAGGCCTCAGACTCGCGTAATAAGATGAAACTTTGAATGATGCCATGTTTTGAATGAGGCGTCCACGGGTAGAATTGCGAAATTCCAAGGTTATTGAATAAGATGATCTCAGAACAAACAAACAAATTGAAATCAAAATAACTAGGACCTTGGAGGGGTACTCAGATCACGAAGTAATTTTGGTCATTACACAGTATCTGTTCTGTCAGACTCCACAATGACGCCGTCCTACGCCCCACTTTCTAACTATTTTTCTTTTTTTTTTTTTTTCTAATTGAATGCACCGGTACCTGGCAAGTGGAAACAGCAATGAAAAAATTGAAAAAAAAAAAAAAAAAAATTCCAAAGAAAATTCTATTTTTCTTGGTTCACTTTTTAGTTTTCCACGGATTCAGTGAATTAGCACATGATTGTTCTTGCCATTCAAAAGCGGCGGGTTGCGCACTTAAGTTGAATTTCTATAGATTATCTTCCCATACTCTTTCAGGGAAATATTATGTGTTGGATTGCTTCATCTGCCTCTCAATTATTTCATCACCGTACTGCTTCTTGAACATACGAATCCTATACATCTAATTGGGTTGTCTAAAACACCAATATGCCTGGCCGTCTAATCCCGAACCTGATGAGTTCCTTACACTCATCAGTCACCTCAACTCCCAATCACTCCAACTCCTCGTCAACCGTTTCCGTCAATGAGATCCCCGGACATTCGAAGAAGCCAGCCCACAAATCAGATCGCGCACGATCCCCAGACCGCCGTCTATCCTTCACCATGGACCACTTGATCCACCCTCTCCGAGACCATAGCAAAGAGAAGCGCCGCAGCTTGGGACGCGCAGGACGTTCCAAGGAGCGCTCCAGCCATGAAGTGCACCCACCAGCGGCGAAGTTGGATGTTCTGATCGAGTCACCGCCACTGGTCTGCTATGGGCCACCTGCCAGCTCTACTGGCGCGCTGTTCTCTGGACGCTTGCGCATTGGAGTCTCGGAGCTGACGGGTGGAGTCATCTTGAGCCAGTTTGATGTACGCCTCGTCCACAAGACAACCACCAAGAAGCCTGTCTCCAATCACTGCTCCAACTGTGCTACTCGCACCGAAGAGTTGACTCAGTGGAACTTCATCACCGAGGACCTTCACCTCAATGGCGGGGACCACGATTTCCCCTTCAGCTACTTGTTCCCCGGCCACCTTCCTGCTTCTTGCAATGGTGTGCTCGGTCAGATCGAATACTTTCTGCTGGCGCATGCGCGGAGCATCACCGGAGAGGAATATAGCCTCAAGCTGCCTCTGGACATTAGTCGTTCTCTGCTTCCCGGGCCAGACAAGTCCTCCATCCGAATCTTCCCTCCCACCAACCTCACTGGCCGCATTGTGCTGCCCTCCGTCGTTTACCCTATTGGAAACTTCCCCGTCGAGATGACCTTGAGCGGCGTGGTCGACAAGGGCGAAAAGACCCAGACCCGCTGGCGTCTTCGAAAGATGATGTGGCGCATTGAGGAGCAACAAAAAATTGTGTCCACGGCATGCCAGAAGCACGCTCACAAGATCGGCGGCGAAGGCAAAGGTGTTTTACATCAGGAGACTCGCGTCATTGGACACAACGAGGAGAAGACCGGCTGGAAGACCGACTTTGATACCGCTGGTGGCGAGATCACCATGCAGTTCGATGCGAACATCAACCCGGCTGCCAATGCTGTCTGCGACATGGATGCCCCTGGCAGTCTGGAAGTCAAGCACAACCTCGTCATCGAGCTTATCGTGGCCGAGGAGTTTTGCCCCAATGGCAACACCCGCCTCATTACTCCAACTGGTGCCGCGCGTGTGCTCCGCATGCAGTTCCACCTCCACGTCACCCAGCGTGGTGGTCTTGGCATTAGCTGGGACGAGGAGATGCCTCCAATCTATGAGGATGTTCCCGCCAGCCCTCCCAGTTATACCAAGCCCGATGGCACCCACAGCTTCATTGAGGACTACAACGGTTCTCCGCTCCCTGACTACGAAAACCTGGAGCGCATAGATTCCTTGCGATTGGACAGCAGTTCTACTCGTTCTTCCACCATCTCCTCCAATCGATCTACACATGGCCGGTTGCCGCGCTTTACCACTGACGATCTCGTCACTGGGCAATCGCCTGCTGCCTCGCCTATTCCCTCGCGCGCTCCTTCTCGCGCCGCTTCGACTGACTCCCGCCAATAAAATCTCAAGACCTCCCACATCTCTAATCACCTATCTTGATTATCGTTCTCCATTACGACTTAACGATTCCCACGATCAACCAAAAAATTACCCATTCACAACGCCTCTTACGTTCTACCATAATTTCCTATTGCTTTTTCTTTCATGGATTTTGATCTTTTTACCTCATTACTTTCGGTCCCATCTCAACGGGCCTCATGATACCAGCGACGGAAAGGAAGCCACGAATAACAGTCGGGCTACCACGCCTTTTCCGCACTGGTCTTGTTCTGCCAAGTTTGCATGATACCCATTCACTTATGTTCCCCTGTGCATAATACTTTTTCCTTGTTCTTCAACTTACCTCTCGATGGGTTGATTATGGCTTGCAAAATATCCACATTTCACTTCCCTTCGGGTTGGACTCTTTTTGTTATGACAAATTTTCTCTACTCATTGATACTTAATCAATTCATGATCATGATCTACAAGATGTTTAATCCAATCTCAGTAATTGTACCGATCTATGTAAATGCTTTTACCAGCTCTGTTATATCAAACATTTCACGAGGTCCAACTCGGCGATATGTACTATTTCGGATATCTGAGATACTAACTAACCCACAGAATAATGAAATGTGAAAACACGGAAATATCCCTTTCTATACAATTCTCTGACCTGCCGCTCTCGAACAATAATACATAATTCAATATATACGAAAGAGACAAAACATCAGGCACTCTATAAAATCAACCCCAAACCCTCAAAATCACCACCCCTTCCACGGAACCCACGTCTCCCGAACAATATCCTGCTCATCAACAACATAATAAGCATAATGCATAGCAGCCGTAATACAAGCATGCTGAATATACAGCAAAACCTTATCCCCAACCCTAAACGCAGCCTCCACCTTCTCCCCATCAGATCTCGACCCCATCTTCTCAACAAGCCTACGCGTCTGATCAGACTCCGCCCACCCCAGAATCCCATGTTCCTGCGACATCCGCACAACACTCCACTGAGGCCGATCAACAACAATAGCATACCCGGGGAACTCACCCGTCTCCTTCGAGAGCGCGATAGTCCCCGCGTTCACGAGCGCCTCGTTGCGCTCGGGATATACGCTGCAGACATCGGCGAGAATGCGCACTGCCTGCTGCGTCGGTTCCACGAGTGAGGTTGCGACTTGCTGCAGGTCGTTTGTGGGGTAGTTTCCTACCGTCTGTCAGTCTCTGTGGTTTTATGTTTCATGTGGTAAACTAAGTCTGGGGTTAATTGTCACGAATCAAACATACCAGCATGTAACTCCAACTCCATCCCCTCGGGCAAAACACCCTGCAATCTTTTCACCACATGTGCTGTAGGCGTTGATCCCACAGAAACCACAACCCGTCTATCGGATTTCCCGTCAACCAGGACCTTAGCTGCTTCCACTACGCCCTCGACTTCACTCTGGAGAACCGCGGCCGCGGCATCCTCTGTGCGACACGCATATGAGTGTCCGGCATGACAGTAGAAGCCGTACACGGTAGCCGCGGAGGATGACTCAATGCGCTGGATTAATCTTGGGAGGGATGGTGAGTCAGTGACCATTCCTGCACGCTGAGAGCCGACGTCAATCTTGATGAAGACGGGCCATGATGCCACCGGCGAAGATGATTTGGAGGCGTATGATTCGAGGAGATCTATCTGCTGCTCGCTATCGATCATCAGGATGATCTTTAGGGATTTGGTTAGGGTTTCGAGGAAGGGTAGGGCGCTGGCTGAGACGGGTAGACCGTAGAGACACTGTTATGGGTTTAGACGATGTTATTTCATTGGAAAGTACAAATAGATACTGTAACTCACCTCGTCTAGTTTCCCTTCCTTGACAAGATCTAAACATCCTCGGATCTCGGATAGTGTCGATGCGACGATTCGACGGTGCACGCCGTCGCCCAGCATCATGCGGGTGACCTCGATACACTACACGCCCAATTCAATTAGTACATTACCTGAAGCTTGATTCTGGGGTAGAGACAGTACCTTGAGCGTTTTGACATGGGGCCGAAACTCAATTCCCAACCGTTTGACATCTTCTAACAAGATCTGGGTGTTTCGCTCTAGCACGGGCTTGCTTAGGATGAGAGCTGGAGTGGGAAGCTCGGAGACTGGACGACCAATGTAGGAAGCGTGGTTCTGTAGAGAGTAATCCATTTTTGAGAGGTTTAACAGGGTTAGCAGGTTTAGGAAGAACAGGGGTCTCGGATTTATGTGAGCCGGTAGTGGGGTTTACCGATAAGCTGTGGGGTTCTTGTGGGGATGGGGGTTTGTAATTGACAACATTGTTATGTAGGTGATAGGCAGAGAATGAGGAAATGTTTCATTACGTTGCTGTTCGTAGTTGGTTTGATAACTCCATGAGGAAATTGGATCTTCAACAAAACATACATGAAGCCTTGTAGAGAACGTGAATCAGCTCAACGGGAAGGATTTGAAGTATACAGAAACAGGAAGAATATGCATTTTCATTCTTATCTGAATAAAAAGGTAGAACTCTCATCCCGTAGCATCATTGCCTTTCTGTCCAAGTATAGATACACACGAAAGAAATTTGTAATGGGTGATGGTTTGGCTTTCTTCCATTTGTTCATCTCTGGCCGACGAGAGTTTGGCAAATCAATGCTTGCAAATGAGTTGATGTTATAGCAGGTGTCTCCTCATTTTGGGAGTCGACTTGAGAACCAATATCCATAGAAAGCCCTGCGTTGGTGATTAGCTTTGCATGTTCGAGGTCAAGCGAAGTCAATCGAATACCGTTACCTATAGGCTTTTTTTTGCGAGAATAACGGCAAGGAGAACCATGATGTGGTCCGCAACGAGGCACGTGTTCCTGCCATATCAATCAGTGGGTTTTGGGCAAGTGCGACTGGACATCGGAATGATTGTTAACAGAACACATTTAAAGGAGAAAATAACAAAAGCCCCTTGGGGCTAGATGGAATCAAACTGGGGGCGATAGACATGGAGTATTTGTGATGCTCTGAGACTTGAAGGTTATATCTTGCTCGATGGGTGAGTTTGAGCATCACCTAAGAGTTACCCTTGTGGACCTCATGGTCTTTTTCTTTGATCCAATTCTAAAATTACATAGTATTGTATGCTGAGAACCATGGGCTGGTAACAACAGTCGATTCAAATCAATCGGTCGGTGATGAATTGTCCATCTCAAAGCCTTTTGCCTCATATCATCTACAAAGATATCAATTGCATCTCGGATACCCCCTTCTCTTTCTATCGATCACTCGGACTTCTTTATGAATGGTGCTTTAGTCAGGGCATTTGCCTGTGTCTTCCATATCGCCTTCCCCAACTTCACAAGTTTCGGCCCAAAGTCTTCGAGCAATGTTTCTACGGATGGGTCTTCATCCAAGATCACCTTGCCGTATTCTTCGTCAGACGCAAATGTGGCATCCCGCCAGATTCTCTTCCACCGCTTGACTGCTTCAATAGCCTCTGGATGTTGGCTTTCAACCTTGGTAGCAACCATGTAAAAAGATGATCGCTTGGCGTGAGCGGTCTTCGGCTTGAAAAGCCGAACTGACGAGATCTTATGAAACGTCCAAATGAGATTGACGGTGTTCCACGCCTCAAGCCTGTGGAGAAGAACGACTATAGTGCCACCAGGTCTAAGGTGCTGAAGCCCCAGAGCGAGCTGCGTGGTGGCAAGTCTTTTCGCTTCCCGGCTCTCTCGATAGAGGGCGCGTGTATGTTGTCTCAAAACCTGCCCGTCACATATGACCAAATCAAAAAGCCGACTTTGTTCAAGTTGCCGGGGCAAAAAGTTCTCGGCATCTTCATGGCCCTCGGGGATCTGATCTACATCCATGTCGGCAGCAAGCATAGTCACGTCGAGAAATACTCGCTTAGCATTCAAGCCGCTTGCCAGACGACTCCTATAGCCTCCACAGGAGACAGGCAGGCTGAAAGCCAGAGCATGTGAGCCTGGATTCTTTCTCAATGCTATCTCGAGGAATGCACCGGGGGCCATGCACATATCGAGAATGGCAGGTGGGGCTGAATCAACCTGTTGGATTTTGAAGACATTGGTGGCTGTATCAATTTCCCGTCCGATTGTGTTCATAAGCTTATGAAAGTAAAACGATGTCTTTTTGTCGGACTTGTCGGCATTTCGACGCATGTTTGCGAAGTATTTATCGCCTTCCGGGTTTTCCCATCCCTGTTAGCAGCATGGTTAGAATAGTGTATGTATGATATTCAAGCTCGGTGTGACTGACCCGCTGTCTCACATCACTGAGTTCGCGGAACTCTGGACTCTTTTCCAGCAGGTAGGGTACGACAGATCTGCTCTTTCCGGCAGGATCTTCCGTAGGCTCCTCAGTCGAATGGAGACTGTCGGGTTGGCTGTCAGGCAGGAGAGTGGAGGCTTTCACCTGTGCTTGACTTGAATCAACTGCCGCCATGGTTTGGCAACTAGACTTGAGATTACTTCCACAAGGCTCGATAGCAGGGCTGAGAACAGGTGTTTGTAAAACAACATAAACCAAGCTTGGAGATGGTTCATATATGTGAGGTTCTTATATGAGTTGCTGGTACCTTCCATTATTTGTTTCGTCGTTTGTCTCAGACCTCCGCAAAGCCCAACCAGCAGTGGGCTATGGGCCTAACCTTCGAAGCCCAACCCAACCCATTCAGGGGGGTTCAACTAGTATCTTGCAATCGCTGTAATCTGACCCTTCTAGTATATTCTAATTTTAAATAAAATCCGACTAGTGGAAGTTGAAAAAGAAAATGTTAATATTGAAGTCTTGATAGATATAGTTTAGTACCAGCACTTTCTACGTGAACCTCGAGTTATAATTTAAGACTTATATGGTGCGTTTTTTTTCGCGTGTCTAAACGTGATATACAAATCTAGCTAATTATTAATATCGTATTAATTAACATAATTAAATACAACTATAATCTAAGGGCTAAAAATGGGTCTAAACATAAGGTAATTAAAAAAGTCACGTTTTTTGGGCCCCCATCATGGGCCCGGTGGGCTTTCACCCCGGGTCCATAGCCCACCGATGGGCCCGAAGATAGGACCTAAACCCCAGCCCATTAGTGGGTTGGACTGGGCTTTATGGAGGTCTATTTGTCTCATATTGCATAGTATCTGCAGGAGTTTGACATATGACACCATCCAGATATACTAGGCCTGGAGGACGGGGATCTAAATCCATTCTTCAATTCTTCTTTTGCCAGAAGGGCAAATCTCCTTGATATTCAGGCCTGAATAAAATCCTGTCCATGGCTTTTTCATATGCAAGCTTTCATACAGTCCCAATTATAATAAGCAAGAACGGTTGGCTGCTTATGCGGCCTTGTGATGTATCTTCGGTGGTCTGTTTAGTGGTCTTCTTAGATATTCTATCTAGATGCCCTTTTAAGATATGTTCAGGACGGGATTGACAGCTAAAATACTTGGTCCGCTTAGACACAGCAGGGTTAGGTTTACGAGAAAATCTCTTGGGTTTCAATTTCATTGATCATGTCATTTGTGGTTTTTTATCTGTTTTTGTGTATGAGATCTCATGATTCACATGGAGGTAGAGCAAAGACAAAGGAAAGTTGACAACAAGGAGAGTCATGATTGAAAGACGCTAAGAATGGTGAGACAAGGATATTTCCAACTCCAAAAATGAAAACTCCAACAATGTTATACATGATAAAAATGCCCTCGCATGGGACTCTCGCGATGCAGTAATGGGAAATGGGAAATGGGAAATGAAAAGTGAAAGTTCGCCATGCTGTGTGGATGTGCTTGAGAGATAGGGAAGATAATCATAGTCCCTCGCCACGAAGAAGGCGCCGAAGGATTCCTTCACCGGGACCAACAATCTGGCTCTCGATTTCCTGTTGGGAAACGAAGCAGACAAGACCTTGTTCGTCAAGGGCCTTATGAGGAGTCGAAGGCGCGCCAGATTTGGAGGGTGTGCGGCGTAGATCTGTGCCACCTGCAACAGTTCCGCCTCGGCCGCGACCCTGATACTCCCCAACCAAGCCCATTGTTTCCAAATTGCTGAGAACGTCTTTGAACTCGGTGGCAGTCAAGGGGTGAAGAATGTTGTCATTGCGACACAAAGCACAATATGTATCGAATGCTTGCTTGATAGTGGGCGCCGAATTACGCGACTTGGAAGGGGTGCTTGGGACCTCAAGCTGGCGACGTTTGCGTTCAAGTGCAATCAGGGAGCAGATAGCGGCTTTTTGTTGTAGGTTCAAACTTTGAAGTCTTTGAACGGTGCCCTGACCGAAGGCTGCGGAGGTGATTCGGGCAATGTGGGCGATGCTGGCTCGGGGTGCCGTGATGACTGTGTAGCTTGACATGGAAGTTGGCTTTGGAACACTGCCGACTTTGGCAGGCGAAGACAAATTCGTGTTCTCTCCTAGTATCGAAACATTCTCAGCCTCCTTAGCTTGCTTATCCAACTTTTGGAATGTTTCCTGTTCAATGACGTCGATTGCTCGCTTGATCAACTCAAAGGCCTTGCGAAGATCGCCTGTCTGCGAAGCTACCTTCTTAGAGCAAAGTTGAATGGCGGCCGGTTGAACAAAAGGGACAAGCTTTGGGTCGGATTCTGCCCCAGCAGGGAGCAATGAGCGAAGACGATTGGTCATGACGTTTGCGATAGATGCAGCACTGTACGGCAAGAACGGCAGCAAGCGGGGCTTCAGGTTCTTTGCCTTTAACTGTGGGAGAGATCGGTCGGTCAAATCAAGGGCGTTAGCGATGCCAATCAGCATCAGCTTGGACTTGCTTTGCAATGACCACTCGAAAAGTGACTGCAAAACCCCCGAGTCACCATTGAGCAGATGGTCAATTTCGTCCAAAGTGACCAGGAACAGATCTTGCCCTTTCTTGGATGGGATGAACGTAGATTTCAACCGATCCCCCTCGCTCTTCTTGAACATATCCGAGTCCCCGCAGAAATCTTGGACCAGTCTGCTGTAGACATCACGAGAGATTCGCATGCTTGCGCAGTTAACGTGTGAGACTCTGACATTGGAAAGGTCAAGATCTGCACACACTTCCTGGACCATGGCACTCTTTCCGGTCCCTGGGGGACCGCTGATATAGAGGCACCCTCCTTTCCGAGACTCCACTCCTTCTGTGATAAAAGACACCAACTTTTCCCGCTCCGCATCGCGTCCCACTAAACGGCCGGAATTAGAACCTCGGGCGAACAGTTGCCTGGCTTGCGAATACACCGAGTTCACAATGTTCGGAGTAGCACTCTGTCTGGGGGTCGGGGGAAGATCGGCATGGCGAGGGGTGCGCGGTGTTACTGGCTTTGCTCCGACCTGCACTCGATGTCTAGGGGTGATGGGAGATTGCGGTAGATCATCTCGGAATCGCGATTTCGAAGGTGTCTTAAATTCGAACTCGATAGGTTTCGTAATTTCTTCTGCACATCCGATTAGCGCTGCCTCAGGCGCAACTCCCAAATTTTCTAGCTTACCATCTACCGGTTTCGAGACGGTGAAATGCGAATTGATCTTGACTGGAGATTTGAACTGGTCATCGCGCAACGTATGTTTGGAAGAAACATTCTCCGACACTGTCTTGCTCTCGCCATTTTCTTGGTCAGGTTCGACTGCTTTCTTTACAGTTGACCTTGTTCGCCGTAAGGTTGGAACGGTATCTTGTTGGTGAACTCGGGGAGCGATTGTTCGGCGCTTGCTCGCAGTTCGTACCGGCAATGCTAGAAATGTCAGAAATCGAAGATAAGGGAGGAAGGTGGGATGGATGATCTTACCTGGTTCCACAGCACGAGAGCGCTTTCCTAGGACTGTTCCTGCCATAACTTGACATAAATAAAAAATCAAGGTAAGAACAACAATCGTAGTTTCCGTTGAAGTCAAGAAGAATGTCAGGAAAGAAGGCCCAGAGCCCAGTTAGGAAGTGTAATTGGCAAGCTCCACTACTGGGACTATCGTGCAACGCGCTGGACGCGTCGCGCGTACTACGGCCGAGTATATCCACCACATATGCACTTGTGACTTAGTCAGCCGCGTCACTGGCACCGGAGCCACCTCAGGTGTCGATGATTGTCTCATGTGCTTTTCGAATTCGAGATGACGGAATTCTTTCAGCCTAGGTGAAGCTAGACATTCCTTTTTCTACTTCTCTTTTTCCTTAATTCCTTTCAACCTCTTTTGTGGGACCTGATCTTTTGGTTTGCAGTGGTTTGCACCAAATCTTGCTCCCCACATAACACAACCTCCAAGTCTTTGCCCCATTTCATACTACACCTAAGCTTTCAGTGGGTATCCAAAGTCAATCCTTTCTAACTTTCATCTCTAACATTAATATCTTTCTCAAGGAACCTCATTCGACACACTGCCCACCATGGAGAACGACGTGGTAGCTCAGTTTACTGAAATTACCGGCTCCACGCCGGAGCTGGCTATACAGTACCTGCAGATCACCGAGTTCCAAATCGAGCAGGCCATGCAGCTTTACTTTGAAAGTGGAGGCGCACCCTTGACTGGTGAACCTGCTCAGCCTTCTCGTCGGTCTGGGATCCCAGTGGATTCCGAGGTGGTGAATATTGACTCAGACACTGATGACGATACCCCCCAACACTCCGCCCTGCCAACATTCGATGACGACGAGGCTATGGCTCGACGCCTTCAGGAGGAAATGTATGGCGGCCCAGGTGGTCCAGATAATGACGATGAAGTGAGAGCGCCGTTGGCGCGGACAACAGAGACTTTGGTGGGGCCCGGCGCGGACTATGACAGTGGCGAAGACATGCACGCCAATATTCTCAGCCAACTACGAGCTCGGGATCGAGGAGGTAGGTGCTATTTTGTGTTTCCAAAATTTCCAATACTTCAAACTGACACTTTCCTCTAGGTCGAGCCGGAATCTTCAACCAGCGAGAGCCATCTTCCATATGGACCGGCGGTGGTGAATCTCGTCGCGAAGAACTCTCTGCCATTACTGGGGGCGCATCGGATGCATCGTCCAAATCCAATATGCTCGCTGAAATGTACCGTCCTCCCTTCGAGATCATGTCACGACTGCCCTGGGATGTGGCGCGCGACGAGGGAAAGGAGACCGAGAAATGGCTGCTTGTCAATGTCCAGGATGCATCTGTCTTTGACTGCCAGGTTCTCAACCGTGATTTGTGGAAGGACCGTGGGGTGCAAGATACCGTCAAGGAGCATTTCATTTTCCTGCAGTACTCGAAAGATGACCCCCGCGCGTCTTCCTACATCCAATACTATTTCCAGGGAAGCGACGTCTCCGACAATTACCCCCACATTGCTATTGTCGACCCTCGAACTGGTGAACAAATGAAGATCTGGTCTGGACCGCCTTTGGTCAAGGCCGCCGACTTTCTCATGCAACTTCACGAATTCCTCGATCGCTACAGCTTGAACCGCAATGTGCGCAACCCTGTCGCCA